AAGGAAGCGGATTTCAGGAATCAGTTCAGAAGAAAATGCGCACGATAAGTGAAGTAAGAAATTGATTGGCCAGACGTTTAGGGCGCTTTCAATCGAACCAGTCCGCGACTGTATCGGATGATTGGCTCGAGGGTGAATCCGAAGTGCCAGGCCAGCAATCGCACGCCTTCCTTTTGAATTGTGCGTTTTAGTGAAACTCCGGGCAGTATTGTTTAGAGAACCACCACCTGCGTAGGCGTACAATAGGGGCCACAAAGAGACTATGCTCCTAATTTCTACGGATATATCGCCTGGACCGGTCCACCTGGACGTTAACCACCCAGTAGTTGTTCAGCAGGTAAGGTTGCTTCTCAAGTCCTTCCGTATACAGCTTCCACGCTATAAGTGCGAGTCGGAGACTATCACAGTTCACCGGGACTGAGAAGGCCGCCAGCTGACGCACTAACCAGAGACACCATCAGTCTAGTGTGTGTTGTGGCTGATGAATGGACTGGGAGTCAGACGGTGACCACTCCTACTAACCCCCCTGGTTGTGTAAGTCCTGGTGTGTTTGTGTGTGTTAGTGGGCCAGGTCTTGCCGTGGCACGCGCAGACGGGTTTGCCAACCCCGTCAACCACCGCGCCTGATCCTGCCTTCGGTCTTCTTTACTCTCTGTTCATACTGACCCCAGGTGGGTGAGGGAAGATAAAGTGCGGTAGATGCTGTGAAAGTCTAGGATCACTTAAAATTAATTCACGCGCAATTCCCCGTCCCTGCAGCACCCTGTTGTGGAGCGTTCGGTGGACATCCTCGAAGTCGATGGTCGAACTGTCAATTAATCCCAATTCACCGAGCCCAAGGACTATGCTGCAAACTTCACCCACTACTAAGATTACTTTAAAGGAAAACTCACTAGTCCCTTTCCACGTATATTACTATTCAGAAACAAATAGTCCGCTAACCACTCAGACTAATATGCCCGTCTCGGAGGCCGCAAAGCAAATCTGCCAAACTTCCCTAACAATTAACTGAGCCTAGTAGTCATTCCGATTGGTCCTAGATGACTGTTTAGGAAATCCTGCTTGGGCAGTCAGCTTCCTGTTCTGTAATGGTGGATTCCAAACGAGCAGTAAGTTGGGCGGGTAAAATCGATCCATGTTTGATTAAATTCACGGCGCACGGTCAGCCTCGTAGCTCAATGGTAGAGCGTTGGCTGCACAAAAGCCTACTTCTGCTATGTGGGTTCGACTCCCACCGAGGCCACGAATCTCGCACAACAGGGTCAACTGAAGTAAGCAAATCTGCCAAAGCCCCTAACCATATATCCGTCCGCAATTACGACTACCGAGATAACGAGACAAACAGAAGTAAGTATAAATGAGGAGAGGAGTGCTGTGGGTATGAAACTCTGTGTAACTTACAGGAGTTTTGACTTTACCCACTTTTGGCGTCTGCATGGCGGTCTGCGAAGGAGGAGAGGACGGCGGGGGCTGTTGGAATTTAGCAATCATATTTTTCGTGTATTCCGGCTCCGGCAGTTCGCCCTCATTGAGAACCCCATCTGAAGAATGTAGCACGGTGTCTATATGGAAAAGAATTGAAGGCGGTTGAAGTATTCAGCGTGAAATAAGAGCGTGAAAAAAAAGAACAGCTCTAGGGGAGGGTTTACAACGTCCAAAGCCACGAATTACTTTGTTCAGAGGCGTATAATGACGGTGCAGCATCCGGGAAACGACTGCAACTTTTCAAGAGTTGGTTCAATGTAGATTATAATCCCTGGTAGTATAGGCAGATAATATTGCCGGCAGAGACAAGGGAGACTTAAATGGCTATTTCTGGCTTATTAGCCATCGTCAGCTAGTCATACCCAGATCCGAGCCTCAAACTCGCAACCACTTTGATCAGAGTTCAACGCCCTAACCATTGAGCCACGAGCTGGTTTTCTTGCCGGATTGGGTCGAGAGATATTGACACTCACTGACGAACGTTCACCCGACCGCTAACGAAACTTATCTGTCCCGCTCTACCTTTGGTCTCGACAGAGGCTCTGACAGATGGTAGTATCGCCGGCTAAGAAGACTGGAATGGCAATTTCTGGCTTATCAGCCGTCGTCAGCCGGCAATACTACTGCCTCCATTAAGTTTCAACGTTTCATTACCTGACTGTGGTCCCTTGGGTTTGATTTCAAGAAGAATTTCCACATGCCTTCATGAACATTTTTACTACAACTAAGTCAATGGCTTCGGGTAATAAGTGGACAGGCGACTTCTCGGATTGACAGAAGAAGCCACAAAAACTGGATCTGTCCGGTAAGTTGGCTGTGAGCTACCTAACATGCACTAGTGGCAGGCAATGGAAAGAAATTCAATGAAGGTTGGCTGCGAATTAAACAGGATCCTACAGTTAAACAAACAAGAGAGGCGGATTATGCAGGTATATTTTGGAGTGTGACTGCCCCGAGT